TCTGTGAAATAAGAATCAAGTCAGATGCATCAAGTATTTTTTATAGACAATTTTTTAAACCATCACCTTCCTTTGTATTTTCACAGCAATGCTCTGCATCGTGATTAGTGAAAACACACTTAGTGAATTACCCCCATAACCAAGTTCTTCAGAAGGAATCTCAGTCAGCAGCTGAGAGTGGGTTTAAGAGTTGGCAACTTTGCTTGGATAACTGCTTCTTTCAGGCCTCCTTGATAAGTATCAGTGGTTTTCCCCTCTATTTCCTTCCCCAGTCCTCCCTGACTAGGCCCCTTTCTTTTCCTGCATTTGTAATCAAATTCGCAGCTAAACTTATTTTAGGCCAAGATCATAATAACTCAACTACTGGTAAATCAGACTAGATAGATTTATTTGATACAACAACCACAACTGAAAAGAAGAAGTTTATATCCTTTAAGTGATTTGAGAAACTTAAAAAACTAGTAGATAGTAAAACTTTTTTTTTTTTAAATGAATTAACACAAACAGGCTTCGCTGACACTTTTAGTTATTATTTAATCAGTTCACATTCGTCTCTTGTATTCTTAACACACCTAAAATGCTCCTGTACTCACAATCGTAACTGTTGCCACTGCACTAAGACTGATTTCCCTCTTCACTGGCTCTGCTCCTGGTTTCCATCTTGGTTTTGTGGTTTCATCCACCTGCTCTGATGTGTGAGGCTTTTCCAAAGCCCCGAGTCTTGGAGCATGACATCTGATGGGAATCTCAGCTTTTCTTTCAAAAATGAAAAAAAATGTGAAAATGTTACTTTAATAAACTTCAAACCCCAAAGGAACTGAAAAATACTACAGGATTAATAGCTAATAAACCAAACACACAAGTTCAGGAAGCTTGAGCCATGATTGGGGTGCGGAAGACATTGCTTAGGACTAGTGATGCAGCCCAACTCTTTAGGTGTTTTTTGTTAGTCTCCCAGAATGAGAGGCTTAATCAAGTATTAAATGAGTAGCTATTAGAAATGCTTTGAAAAGCAACCTAAAAAAAAAGGGGGGGGGGGAAATCTAGGCTCCACATCCTTTGCATTCTAAGTTTACAAGAATAACACTTCCACTTTTTTTCTGGTGACAGTCCTACAAGCTAAAATTTCTTACGTGCAACAACAGTAATGCAGGTTCTTAGAACTAACCATTCAGCAACAGCTTTGCAAGTCTTTCAGCCATTCACAACTTTGCTGAGGGCTGCAATAATTCTTTTTCACCACCTCCCCCACTTAACACTAGAAAAGCAAAATGCCATTTAGAGTAAGTAATGGTAAGACATCTTCATTGTCCCTACAAGCCAAAATTCCAGCTTATTGTAAGAGGACCGCCATATATAATCACAACTATTCCAAATGTCTTCAGTAGACATTACATTACTAACTTGCATTCTTTCATATTTCATTATTCTATCTTCTATTGTATAATCCAGCTAAATATCTGTGCACTACACTTGGCCCCCAAGAAATTTATGGCAAAATAACTTCAAGCCATAACTAATTTAATGTGTCAGTAAAACATGTTTCTTTCACAGAGCAATCATCCTTCTCAACACATGACTGAATACAAAAGGGAATGCACATCAGATTAATTCCTTTGTTCTAATTTATAACTGCCACAGCTTTACACATGTCTAATCTGAGAAACACTTCCAAACACTTCCAATTTGCAGAATTCTGCAAATGGCTCCCTTTATCATCACCTTGGATGTTAAAATTATTTCCTGACCCAGCACATCTGACCCTATGGTCTTGGGGTACATGACAGGGCCATGGTGAGTGTCATCTCCAGCTGCCACCCAGAAACGTGGTGCCTCTCTACTTCATGACCCCATGCTCCCAAAGACCAAGAACTGCAGCTCTGGCTTGGCTGGGGAGAGACTTAGTGGTGCCCAGCATTTGCTGGAGTGGCAATCCCAGACGAGGAAAACAAACAAACAAATAAAAATTAACAGTTGAATGAATCTTTGGCATACTTTAACAACTGTGCTAAATATCTGCTAAAATATTGTTACTTGGGACATCTTAAAAAACTTGAGAGATAAACAAAAGAATCCCCATACATTCTGACATGACATATAGTATCCTTCCCTAAAAATTGGGTTTGTTTGGGATTGGTCTTTTTAAGCACAATTTTAAAAATAACACCTCTGTACAGAATTTTTTTTTTTTAAATACCAGTATCCCAAGCTTATCTTGTGGATCTACTCTTCAAAATTACAAACAGCAGACTTTGTAACTGTGTTACTGATTGCCCCATCTTTGGGCTGATCTCAAAAGTATTCACCAGAGCCTACAAGTTGCATGGGTGATGCTCTCACAGACCAGACTAAAATGACAGAAGCCACTATTGAAAGTACAGTTCTGTTAGAGTTCTGTGGTTAAAGAAACAGAGTTCCACTGCAGAGTTTGCATTCAAAGATAATAAAGCACTACTTCAATATGAACCTTTGCGAGTTGCTACAGCCCTATCTGGTTAGCAGGACTTAAAAAGCCTTTCCTGAATTGGAATTAAGAAATCACAAGCATAAGAAAGGCAGAGGAGGGCAGGTAAACAGACCTATGACAACTCAATCCAAACAAATGCATATGAGGAAGCTTTCAGACACACACACTGCTCCAAATGACTTCACAAAAATACTATTACTGGTGCCACATGAAAACTGCATCAGTGAAAAGTTTAACCATACCAACCTACACAGATAACAGTAGCAAAAAGTACCACAAACTCACAACTTGCCTAAATTACTTATTTAAAAAGTAAGCATATATGTTCACTTCTCTTCTAGCTTTAACTTTTTAGATCATAATAAAAGTTTAAAGTACAATAAGAAAAACCAAAACAAAACCACAAAGAAACCCAAAACACAACCCTATAAAAAATCCCTATCTAAACAAAAATACCACCCCACTTCCAACAGGAAGGTACCAAGAGCTCACTTAGCTCCAAACCTTTCCTGCTGGGCACAGTTTATACCACAGCCTTGCAATCAACCACTTTAAGCTTCAAGTATGCCTTTAGTCAGTTGACTTCTACCCTCACATCCTACCCAAGGAAGAAGAACACGTTAGCAGATGTCCTGAAATCGTGAGAGCTGCCAACAGACCTCAAGATTTCCACTTAAAAATAAAGTCAGTGCTGTCTTTGCAAGATGTTATTAAGACTATCAATTACAAACCAATTTGACTACATATCCTTTTTTTTTTTCTCTTTTTTTGAAAATAGTAACAACAAGAAAAATGACACATTAACACCTAGTGTTAGAATCGTAACATGCGTTTGATGAACTCAGCTGAACGGCCACAAGCCGACACTGAGAGCTCTCTAGGTCTGTAAGAAACAGCCAGCATTGCCATAAATAATCACATGTAAAACTGAACCTTTTATCAGAGTGTTTTGCACCATTTCTAGTTTGTTAATTGAGATCATAGAGGAGAAGTAGAGTCAAAGTTTAATAGCTAACCATCTGCATGGACCCAAGAACTATATCAATATTCATTAAGAGGCTGAGCTCAAACTGCCTTCTCATATTTTCAAGACAAGCACCGTATTAATACATTTTCTAACCTTAGCATAACTCTTATGTTTTCATCCCAAAGCACCCACAACACACATTGATGAAGATTTCCCAAAATTATGACAACTACATGCCACACACACACCAGAAAAAAAAAAAAAAGAATCTAAAAATAAATCTAAAGGAAACTATATATTGTGCCTTGCCAACCACAGTGAATTGCACAGCCAGGAGTTGCTGTAGCCAGATTTAGCTTCATACAAGCTAACAGGATTCCTTTATAAATTTAGCTAGAGGCATGGGCAACAAACGCTTATGGAAATTTGAACCGCAACTCTCCAGCAGCAAAGATTGTTCCCTCCAAGAATGAAACAGTAGTAAAAGACGACTATTAGTAGGCTCTTATTACACAGCTTTCAAAACACCTATAAGTCATCAGGTTCTCCAGGCAGCAATATTAAATTGCCGAAGTACCAGCAAACGTTAAAAGAAAAAAGCAGGGCCACAGCTCTTTCTGGGTCTGCCAATTAATAATCAAAGAAGGAAAAACGCCAACTAAAGAGAGACTGTATTGGAAGCCAGCTGAACGTACAGCTGAGTTTATTTCAGGTCCTCTTCCCTCATACTTGGAACAGTGTGGCTTGACAAGAAAGAAGGAAAAGAGTGCCTCGTGTCTGTTAATGCTAACCGGAGGATGAGCTCTGGAGGACTTCCCCACAACAAGAGGGACAAGGATTGCGACCCGCAAGGCAGGGAAAAGACGAAGGCAGGAAATGGGGAAATGCATCCAGGGTCCCACAGGACAGCAGGACACTGCTCTGCCCCACTGCCTCTTCCTCTTCTTCCTTCCCCAGAATAAACGTTCCTGATATTTAACAATAGATCAATCTTATTTTTAACCCTCTTTAGTCCACACTATCACAATCCCGTCAAAGTTACTTTAAAACACCAAAGACTGAGGGTCTTTTTTGGAAAGCAGTTTTCCAGAAGACACGGATTTGCTAAAGCATCCGCACGAAACCTGAGGCCCCGTGCAATTTTATAGTATTTCAAAGGAAACACCTCCTCCCTCGCCCGAGAGGCTCTACGAAACCCCGAGGCTCGCTGAGCACGGTGCAGCTCGCCCAGGTTGCCCCCGGTCTCCGGCGAGCACAAAGCGCACCAGCGGGCAAGGCGACCCGCAGCCGGCGGCCGCCGCAGCCCCGACGGCAGCCCCAAGCACGGTGCCTGCTGCTCCCGCCGGCGGGGCTCGCACAAAGCCTGCGCTCACAAAACACCCCTCTCCCCTGCAGACCCCCACCCCGCTCCTCCCCGGTGGGTTTCGGGGTCTGCAGGGCACCGGGTAACTCACCTCCCGCTCGCCCCGGGCCGGGCCGAGCAGAGCCGAGCCGAGCCGAGCCGGGAGCCGCCTCCCCCTCCCCGGCGCGACCCACCGAACAAAGCTTTCCCCCGGCAGCGCTCACCGACAGCCTCTCGCCGTGCTCTGCCCTCGCACACCGCTCCTCCTCCCCCTCAGTATTCGGGTGCAGGGGTGCGAGCAGGGAGTGCGGGAGGTTACCCCGCCCCGTACCTCCCCCGGCGGCGCTGGCCGAGTGTCCGGGTGTCCCCCTCCCAGCGCCCGCGGCCGCGCCCCGGCTCGCTCCGTGCGCTCCCGCTCCGGGCAGCCGCTTAATCTCCAAACTTCCTCCTCCTCCTGCCGGCCGGGCAGAGGAGTCTGTGAAACTCCCCTCCTCCATGCAGCTCCCGCAGCCCAGCCGCTGCCTCAGCCCCTCCCCGGGGAGGCTCGGCCCTGCCCGGCTCCGGGCTGCAGCTGACTCCGCTCCCCTTTTTCTTCTCCTCCTCCCTCCTCCGCCCCCCATTCCCCGAGGCTGGGAAAGGGGGGTGGGAGAGAGATTAACCACTCGGACTTGTCTCTGGAAGCAAGCCAAAGAGAGCAGTCGGATTACAGCCTCGGGAAGAAGAAAGGAGGAAAAGGGAATGAAGGAAAAAAAAAAAATCCGCTACTGTTTTCACGCAGGGACAAGCGCTCGGCCCCCCTGCCGTCCCCCGTGTGTCACGGCACAGCGTGTCTGCCCGGCTGCGAGCCCCATGCCCGTCTGGCCGAGTTGCCCATTGGCTCCTCTCCACCACCACAGATTTGAAATTCAATGATCGAAGGCACGACATTGGTATTAAATTGAGAGAGTTTCTGTAAATGAATTGTCAAAATGCCACAGGGGCAAGTCCACCATGAAATACAGACCCGTAAAAAGCAAATTCAAAGAAATTGTAGAGGCTACACCTGCCTCCTGGCAGTGTGGTGGGCCATCTTCTTTGAAAAGGTGAGTTTAAGTTACACAACATTAAAAAAAAAAAAAAATAAAAAGACACACACACAAAGAGAGAAACGGCTTAAATAAAGCCTGAATTCTTCATACATGTTCAATGGTCCTTATTCATCTGAGCTGTGACAAAATCCTTGGTTTCCTGTAAAACCTTTTTCCATATTTCAGGTTTGATAAAGCTGTGTTGCTTTTGTTCTATAACATAGTTTCTCCCCCTGCTCATGCATACAGCATGTGGAATGTGAGGAAATTTGGGAGGTTAGAACAACTCATACTTTTCAGAAGTCAAAACAAGTAATTACAGCAGTAATTCAGAAAAGGAGGAAGTTTCAGGGTTTGCCCTCATCTTACCTGTTCTCACTAGAATCCTAAGAAAAAAAACAAAACAAAACAAAACCAACTAAAAAAAAAACAAAAACACCAACATCACAACAAAACAAACAAACAACAAAAAAAACCCCAAAACCAAATGAAACAACAACAACAATAAAACAACAAAAAACACCACAAAATGAAAAAAAAAAAAAAAAAACAAACAGCAAAACTCGCTCAGAGTTTGTTTATCCTAGATTCAGAAGCCCAACATGCACACTGAACATGCCCCAAAACAGTGATGAATTTTAAAAGATTATCACATTTATGAATTCATTTTGGCCATGTTTCAAAACAAAGGTTTGTGTTTGACAACTAGGACTATATTAACTTCTCAACTAAAGTTAAAAATACCTCAAGGGTTTTAATGACACCCATTCTTACACATGACATTTATTCACATTGCAGAATTAGAGCATAGTTATCACAGCATCACAGAATATCTTGAGTTGAAAGGGACCCTCAAGGGTCAACTCTTCAAGTCCAGCTCCTCAACCCATCAAGTCCAACTCCTGGCCCTCCACAGGACAGCCCCCAGAGTCACACTGTCTGCCTGAGAGCATTGCCCAAGCACTGCTTAAACTCCCTCAGTCTGGGTTCTGTGACCACTTCCCTGGAGAGGGTTCCAGTGCCCAACCATCAGACTCTGGATGAAAAAACTTTATCACGAAGGGGTAAGCCTCACTCCACCCCTACTGCCTTGCAAGCTGTCACTGTCCTATTAGACAGGAAAGGCAGATCATGGGAGGCTGGACTCCACAGTTAATATTCTGGAATGGTGCTCTACAAAGTCACTTGACAAAGGACAAAGGGGGAAAGTTCAAGTAATCTCGGATGTGACTAGTAGCTCAACTAAACCCATCCCACTGGTCATGACCTCCTGCACTGCATAGCTACTCCATGTCTGAATTCAGCATCCAGCTGAGCACACATCCTTGCCTCAGCACACTACACTCTGACCTCGTGCTGGAGAAAAAAGTTAGCCTTCATTTGCAAGCCAAATAGGAAAAAAAAAAAAAGGAAAAGAAAAAAGGTAGCAAAGCTTCTCTGATGAAACTACTGGGAGAGGAGCATTTGTAACTCTTTCCCATTTGGGGAATCAGGGAATGTTTTTCCTTTATGAATAGAACTTTCAAAGATGGTAATAAAACAAACTGCTGGTTGATGCATTTAATTTGGTCCAAATTAAAACAAATGAAAATGTACACACATCCCCAAATGGGAAATACAGCAAAAACCACAAACCGCAGAATATTTCAAGTTCCTTTAAGAAACTGTACAGTCTTTGCAAATATGTTTTAAAGTCTTTACATTATCTGTTCCATATGGAGTTTGTTTTTCCTCAGTGCTATGACTAACAGGAAAAATCTTCTAGAGAAATCTCTTCCTCTCGCTTCATCCTTCTATCTCCATTTCCCCAAAGGACTGTCATGAGTCTGTCTGGTTGCTTGTTTGTGCTAAAAATAGTATTACAGTGGACTGACCAAATACCTCAGTTTCAAGTCGACTGACTGACAATGTACAATCATTGTTGCAGAAATAATGAGAGAGGTTTAAAAGGTCAAGCTTTACAACTCTGTAACACAAAACAGTGTATCTAAAGAACCACCCATTTTTTGAGGAATTAGATACATGGACAAATTGTGGGAATTCCTATCTTTGAAGGTAATCCAGGTGACTTGGTGAAAGGGCACAACTGAGAAGGAGGCTGCAGGCAGGCAAACCTTTCTCCTGGGTATTGCCTGTGCACCAGGTCAGTGGCAGAGGTGAGAGCACAGATTGTTGTGAGGGCTCCCAAACAGCTTGCTCAGTCACCCTCAGCAGCACCCCTGTGCACAGGAAGGAGGCAAGCCTCTTCTCCCACCTTTTTCAGCACACACCTTTTTCTACTCACTCAAACAGCATCTCTCATACTCTCACACAGCAGGATCCCTGCCTTCCCCCATACGTAAAGTGGGATACAGCCTCGTCTGCCAGATCTTCACCTCCATCCCTCCTGCTGCCCTTATAGTCAGAAACTTGAACTACTTATGAGCTGGTGTCTTTCACAACAATGGTCAGGACTTGCTTTCATGTACCACTTGGAAGTGATTTGCTTATTATAGTTGGGAATCTGTAACTTCATATTATTTCCCCTTTGGGGATTTTCTTTCCTTCTGGAAAGTCTGATTGTATCAGCTAATCTACCAATAGGTTTGTACACGTACATATGTTCTCAAACATTACAGCATTTCTGTACATCACCAGGTCTGAATTGCACCCGTTGTTGTGTTCATATTTTTCTCCTTTTGTCTGTAACTCAGGAAAACTGTAACCGCTGCCTTTAAAGGTACAGAAATCTCTGTCACTTCAGTTTTGCTGACTGATAATGAATTTCAGCATTCACTTGAAGAGAGACATAAGTTTATCTGTTCCAAGTTAGACTTTGGATGAAAAAACCCTGTTCCTACAATAGCAGAAAACTGCTACTTGTAAAGACACCCCCTACACACACCTAAAAGACAAAAAGACACATCCCAGATTTGATTCTTTGGTGAGGGGGAGGATCTGTAGAAACAAACAGCTACATCCATGCCATGCACAGGGGTGTAAGGCAAGGAAGACGGATATAATCTTAACCTGGGTACTCTTCAGTCAGCTTAAATAATAATAATAATAATATTAATAATAGTAATATTAATCAGCAGTATACTCCTTGCCTTGCATCCAAATTAATTATTCCACCCACAATACAATTTAATTGGCAGGCACAGGTATCTCATTTGCTTTGCAAAGCAATATTATTAAGTGTGGGTGTTTTTAGAGCTATGCTCCTGTTTAATAGAATATACTCTTTCATGTATGCTAATGCCAAAGAGTACACAATCATTCCAGTAATTATATGTTCCAGTAAAATCATTAATATCAAATAAAATGCTATCATACCTACTTTATGCCTGTGTCCTGTAGGTACTCAGTTACCTCCAAGTTGATGAGATATCTGTGTGAAAAAAATTGGAAGCATATTTAAGTCTTTACAGAAACAGCTGCTACAACATTTAATCACAGACTATAAAGTTCAAAATATCTTACTCCCAATCTTACTGCAAAGTTTAAGTGGAAGTACTTTAAATACAAGATGACTTTGCATGCCACTTGCCTTGAGGAACAAATAGTGTACATAAAAAATGGGAGTAGGAGGATGAAGTTTAGTGGTTACAAGTATGAAGACTGTCAACATAGAAAAGAACAAAATATTGTACAGAAGGAATTGACTGAACTTAATCTTTCTAAGGAGAGGCTTTGACTCCTTTGTCTGGGAGTATTTCCATGCAGAAGTAAACATTTTTGAGATCATTTGCTTTTCCACATAGCAGCCCCTGCTGCTTGGATCTTCCAAAAATGCAACTGTATTTCATAAAAAAAAAGCACACAGACCAGCTGCAATTTTAATGAAATAGACTTCTGGTAAATTCAAGTTCTAGTGCACTTATGTTGTCACCTCCAGGTCCTAAATTCCTTAGAAGTCTCGGGTCTTAAGCTCAACCTCCACCGTGAGGTTTTCTTCATTGTGATAAATAATAGCCTTCTACACTTCCCATCTGTTCTTCTCCAGAAAGTTTTTCGTCTGTCTTATTCCTGAAAACATTTGCATCTACACCCTTGCAAACAAAAAACATATTTCGGTCTTACAAGGGCTTATCTTCTTCCCACTGAAATTTTCTTCGGAGTATTTTAGATTATAAGGCCAGAACTGAGCAGTTAATTTCAAACTTGTGGACAAAGATGGCCTTCAGTCATCTTGCTCTGGAAGAAAGTCACTACTTATTCTGTACCCTTCATACCAAAGCCACTAGGTAAGGATGAACCACTGCAACCCGTTCAGCATGGAGGATGCCTACCCCTTTTTTCTTGGCAGGACAGTCAAAAGCACTCAAAATAAAGCTGGAGCATGAACCCAGCCACTCCCTTTTCTCTGTTTAGTTGCTTGCACAGCAGACAGGCTTGCATAGGGTGCTTGTTTCTCAAAATTCAGCTGCCTCTTTTTGGCTCAACTTGATTATTC